ACCGCGCAGGAGAGGGCCAAAGCGCGCGGGGAGATGCTTCCGGGGCAGAGGGCATGCAAGATGGCGGCGCCCATGGAGCTGTTCTGCTGGTCTGGGGGCTGGGGGCTGCCGTCAGTGGACCTGGACAGCCTGGCCGTGCTGGTGAGGGGTGGCGCCGGCTTCCTCTGCTGCGCCCTAGAAGGACTGGGGAGGGGGTCCGAACTAACTGAGCATCGGAACTTTGCATGGGCCGCACTGTGGGAAACTGAGGCAGTCAAACACCAGGATTAGCCGATAGGAGCTCAGCGCCCTATGCCGTGGCTTCCTGTCATTCGTCTAGCAATGGAAAGAGGCTTGACCAGGGGTTTAGGAGATGGATTCTGTCCTTATTTATCTATTTACTGCTTGTGTGACCTTGGGGCAATCCTTCTGGACGATCTCAAGGATCTTGGGATTGGTATTCCTGTCGTCTCAGCACCCCCTTTCCTCCTTCTAACCAAACACCATTTACTGAGCGTATTTGTTGGACCAGAGGGTCCACAGCCAGACTGTATGTAGAAAGAGTTTTGGAGTCAGACGTGATGCACATCACCCCTACTTCACTCTTCGATTTTATTTATTTATTTTTTTTTTTTAATTTTTTTTGGTTTTTCTCTGGTACCGGGAACCGAACTCACGACCTTGCGCTTGCCAGGCAGGCGCTTTTGCCGCTGAGCTAAATCCCCAGCCCCCACTCTTCGATTTTAAAAGTCCAAGTTAGGCTTCTCCTAAATACCACTGTCATGCAAAAAATGAGTAAGATTTGCTCCCACCGCTCAAGTTGTTTAGGGAAAGGCAGACATGTAACCATTGAATAAAAGTGTTCAAGTGTAAGATACAACATATCTAGTAAGTAGGAACAGGCCACAGGAACTTGTCAAAGAAGGCCACTGTCGGTGCTATCAAGAAGAGGATACTGGTTATGAAAAGCTTTTGAAGATAAGTGTTCACCAGGCAGATGGCAGGAGAGAGGATTAAAAAAAGGATTTTCCAATTTGTAATCATGGACATGTGCATAATCTCTCCGAACCCCGTTTTGCCCATTTGTAAAACAGGAATTGTAGTGTCTCTCTTTTCTGTACAAAGGTGCTAAGCATAGGCATAACAGATAAAATATTCAGTAAATATTTCCCTCCTGGTTCCTTGGCCTGTCTTCTGCTTCCTTCCCTGCAGACCTATGCCAGATTTACTGGTGCTCCACTCAAGGTACACAAGATCACCAACCCCTGGCGAAGCCCTTCAGGTACCCAGTGTCCCTGGGGGGTGAGGAAGGGAGTTTGCAAGGGGAGTGGCAGGAAACAGGACTGTGGTACAAATGTATATGTATAGCAATCCCAGCACTGAAGTAGGAGGATCACTGCAAGTTCCAGGCAAACCTGGGCTACATAGTGAGTTCAAGACCAGCCTGAACTACTAAATTAATTAATTAATTAAAGTATGTATGTATGTATATATGAATAGGCAGCTAAAGATCTGGTGGCCACACTTTCTCAATGTCAGGAACTCTGCCTGCTCTTCGAACCAGCCATGGAGAAGTCATCTCAGTACCACACAAGATCATCACCCACCTTCGAAAAGAGGTAGGTGTCTTGGATGAGAGCTACTGATGAGACAGATTGAATCAGTTCAGTGTAACGTATTTGTTGACACCAGATAATGCACCAAGCTAGGCATAGGTGATACAGAGCATCAAAGAACACACATTGTGATGAGGAAGACACATACACTGTCACTGTGATGCAGTGAAGCGGTTGGCTGTAGATTAAGTTCAAGGCACTATGAAGGCATCTGGACACAGTGCCTTCTGTATGCTGGATAGGGAGGGGACAGTATGGGCTGACGGCACATGGAAGAAAGTAGAGAACAGCAGTTGGCTCTGATGAATCCCTCAAAGGTGGTACTAGAAAGGGACTTCTAAGACCAGCTTGAATTACACATTGAGACCTTATCTCAAAAAAAAAAAAAAAAGTGATAAAGGGATATTTTTTTTTTCCCTTTCAGTGGTAGGAATTGGACGCAGGGCCTCAAGTGTGCTAGGCAAGCATTGTACCACTGAGTTACATCAGTAGCCCTTTTTTATATTTTTAATTTTGAGGTAGGGACACACTAAGATGCCAGGCTAGCCTCCAACTTGCAATCCATGTGCCTCTGTCTCCTTAGTATTTGAGATTATAAGTGTGTACCATCACAGCTTTAGGAAGGAGGTCAGTGGCTACTTCCTTGTTTTTAGGGACTAAATTGGGCTAGATACGAGGCTTCAGAGGGACAAGGCTTAGAGCCAGGTTGGGGAATTTGAAACAAGAGTCAGAGGCTTACATTGTACTATTCACTCTGTCACTGATTGTGTGATCTTGGGCAAGTTATTTACCCTCCCAGACCTATAAGATCCTTCTTTGTAAAATCAGGTGGCTTAGCCAGCATGCTTTCCAAAGGTTCTTCTACCACTCACAGACTGGTTCCAAAAGGGAGCACATTTTCAGAAATGGGACCCTTTTCCTCATTTCTATTTCCCAGAGGTTAAGGAACTAGAGAATGATTGGAGGCTTGAGAGGCTTAGAGAAATAGGATCCAGATAAAAGCCAAAGTTCCTGGCACAGCCAGGACCGCAGCCCTGATTCCTTATGTATGAACAGAGCTTTTCCAGTTTCCAAAATGTTTCCTCCTAAATTATTTACTAACATAGCCACATTGAAAGAGAGATTATTACACCCATTCCACAGGGGAGAAACTGACGTTCAGAGAGATTTAAGAGACACAGCTTACTTAAGATGTGGAAGGGGTTGCTGAGGAGCTGAGATTGAAGGCTGGCAAGGTAGGGCAGGTTAGACCTGGGGGTACGGGTGGAATGTATGCGTGGTGGTGATGTCTAGGCATGGAATTAACTATGCGAAACAGCCAAAGCCACGAAGGAACAAAGCAGGGGGTCCTGGACATGAGTTCATGGGTCCGGAGAGTGTAAGGATGGTTGTCCCCTAGTTCTTGAGGCATTGGCTGCAGCCCAACCTTCATCTGAGCTCTGCTCCTCTGGCTTTGTGGAGTCAGGGTCGGGGAAGTTACTGTTCGAAAGTTGCTGTCAGCAGGCATGTGGCCAGCTTTCCGTGGAAACTCTGGGAGCTGCTCCTAGTTTGTGGCAAGGCTTCCTTTCCCCTGCGGGCACAGGACCTTGACAGCCAGCAGGCTCCAAGGCCCAGGCTTTGTGCCAACAGCAACAGGCTACTGGCTGGGCCTCGGGAAAAGCCTCAGGGGGAAAAGCTTGCTATACCTCCATTGCAGTCAGAGGCCAGTGGGGTGGGGTACCATTCCTTCCCCACCTGAAAAGTGTCCCTGCACCTCCCCTTGTCCACCTCATGGATATTTCTCCCACAGAAGTACAACGCTGACTATGATCTGTCAGCCCGGCAAGGGGCAGACACCCTGGCATTCATGTCTCTGCTGGAGGAAAAACTGCTCCCAGTGCTGGTAAGTGTGCCTGACTTCCCAGCATTCCTGGCCTGTTGGGGTAAGGGGCTGCGCAGTGGAAGAGTCAGAAGCCTACCCTGAGTCAGGCAGGTGCACTGGCTCAGACCTCGTATTCCTTCCTGCCTACCCAATCCAGATCCATACTTTTTGGATAGATACCAAGAACTATGTGGAAGTGACCCGGAAGTGGTACGCAGAGGCTATGCCCTTTCCCCTCAACTTCTTCCTGCCCGGCCGCATGCAAAGGCAGTACATGGAGCGGCTGCAGATGCTGTGTGGGGAGCACAGGCCTGAGAACGAGGAAGAACTGGAAAAGGAGGTAGCTCTGGGACAGGGAGCTGTTGTATGAGATGTACCCCCAGGATGATGGTCAGGAGTGGCAATGCCAGGAGGGGACGTGGTGCTGTTCCTGTGGCCACAACCTATCCGTGTCATCCCTACAGCTGTACCAAGAGGCTCGGGAGTGCCTGACGCTTCTTTCTCAGCGCTTGGGGTCTCAGAAGTTCTTCTTTGGAGATGCGTGAGTCACATTCTATTGTGGGGAATGGGTGGCTTAGAAGGAAGATGCAGTGACTTCCAGGAGTGGGCTTAGGGTCTGGACAAGAGGTTCTCAGGAAAGACACTAGTTCGGGTGACAGCAGCTGTGTGTGGGGCTGGAGCCACCTCGGTGGTACAGCAGGATGGGGTGGGAGAGCAGCCAGGTGCAGGAGGGGCCTGCAGGGCTGTGGGGAACTCAATGTACTCTTTATGCTCCCTGGGATAGAGTCCCATTCAGGGCCAGGCTGGCGCCACCTGGGGAAGCCTCTCATACAGGACCTAGAACTGTGTGTCCTGTCCTCTGGTAGCCTCCTGCTGCCTACAGCCCACCTCCCCAGGCTGCCTCATCCCCCCAGCTCCATTTTGTGCCATCTGTCCAGCTGTCCTCCACCCTTCTGTCTCTTTCTCTCCAGCCCTGCCTCCCTGGATGCCTTCGTCTTTAGCTACTTGGCCCTGCTGCTGCAGGCAAAGCTGCCCAGTGGGAAGCTGCAGGCCCACCTGCGGGGTCTGCACAACCTCTGCACTTACTGTACCCACATCCTCAGCATCTATTTCCCCTGGGATGGAGGTAAGGGGCCAGAGGGAGGACAGCTCTGGGCGGAGTGGGCTGGGATCCAGGAGCTAGCTCCTCTTCCTTCCTTGCCCACAGCTGAGGTGCCACCCCCACGGCAGACACCAGCAGGCCCAGAGACTGAGGAGGAGCCATACCCACGGCGGAACCAGATCCTCTCTGTGCTGGCGGGGCTGGCAGCCATGGTGGGCTATGCCTTACTCAGTGGTATCGTCTCCATCCAGCGGGCAGCACCCGCCCGGGCCCCTGGCACCCGGGCCCTGGGCATGGCTGACGAGGATGAAGAACAGTGATGCGTCTCTGTCCTCCCAGGACTGATTCTTTTACTGTCATGCATTCCAGAGGCCCCTTTGCCTCCCCACTGCTGATACAGCCAGAAATGGGGCGCTATACCCCAGAATAAAACCACTCTGACTCAGGCCAAACATTCTGTTTTAAGGGACTGACATTTCCCAGCCAGTAGCACAGGAGCATTTGGGTGCCTGAGCATACGCAGTGGCCTTGGCTTCTGTGGCTGTTTCTGCCTTGATGCTGACACTGCTTCTGCATGGGCCCAGTTCTGCATCTTCAGGAAAGACAAACAGTCCCCATTTTTGGGTCCAGCTTTCTTAATCTCTTCTTTCCTCCCCCCACCCCAGTCTTGTGTTTGTACAGACAGTGAGCTCACCCTGGGCCTGAGCCCAGTTTCCACAGGCAACCAGCACACAGCACACTCCTACACAAGCATGGGGTCGGAGATACCGGGGTTTCCTAATCTTTCCCTAGGGGCTTCCAGCCCCTGGCACCCAGTAAAGAGGAGAGTGAGTCACCCAATCACTGCCCCTGGGCTTGTGTCACTGTGAGCCCACCCTGGCCCTGCTGTACCCTCTTAGCCACTTCCTTTACTCAGCATATGAGCTGACTGTGTCTCTTTAGCACCCATGCCAGGCCCAGGTGCCTGCTTGGGTATCTGTTCCATCACTGTCGACGCCACAGGTAGGTGTGAATGGAGTAGCCAGGGGAGATGGTCTCTAGGAAGCCAATGGCAGGGTCCTTAATGCTGAGACGCACATCTCTAGAGGAGCTGGGAAGAAGAAAAGCGAGCACGTGAGCCTCCCAAGGCCCGTCCCAGTCCCAGTCCCAGTCCAGGTCCAGACCTGCCACTGCGCTCACCGGTTCAGCACAACCACAACTGCAGAGCCGTCAGGATGCAGTAGTGCCACGGCCTCCAAGTCGTTCTCCTCACTGGCCACCAGCCCCACTCGCTGCGACCCCTCAGGAATGAACTTGCTGAATGTGGGAAGAAGAATCATCAGGGATGGGCCCAGCCCCTCCAGCCATCCAAACACCACCAGCAACGCTTGGCCATGAAGTCACACACCCCTGCCCCACCCATAAATCCTGCCAAAGCTCTGTCCTAATTCTATAGGCCTCAAACCCTGCTGCTTCACCCTGATCCTGGCCTCCTATATCCCAGCCCCGGCATCCAGCACCCTGGGATCAGCTGTGTCTCTGATGCTACCTTGTCACGTTCTACCTGCACATCTCAAGGAAGGGTGGGCATGCCTCTCCCAGGAGTCCAATTTAAATGGCCAAACACAGGGTAATGTAAGCCTGATGTAGGAGATGACAGGCCTAGTGTGGATTGGGGCCATGCACCCTGCACTCACCTGAAGTGGCCAAGGTGATAGAACATGGGCTGTTTGTAAAACGTGTCCTTGGCAATATCTACAATGATGGGGCTGTCAACAAAGTTGCGGACCCAGTTAGGTCCCCCCTCAGGGTTCAGGGCGAGGTTCCAGTCAGTCCAGCCAACCACGTGATAGAGGAGGTTCTGAAGTAGAGACAAAGAAGGGCCAAGGCTCAACGTAGGGGTTCTCAGAGAAGGTAGGTGGAGGTCAGGTGAAGAATATGGGGCCAAGAGAAGCATCTGGGGGGGTGCTGTGTTTCCTTAATAGCAAAGGAGTGAGGATTATGAAGATAGAGGCATTTTAAGGAAAGCCAAGAAGGTAGAGGTCAGTGTAACTGTCCGGGCCCAAGCATGTGGAAAAGGCATAATCTGAAGGAAAGGCAGGATAGAGAATTACGGCAGCCCGAAGTTACCCCCAGAGGGCATGCTGGCACAAGTTGGGAAGGGAGGACTCTCCCTTCAGCCCTGCTGAGGTAGGAAGGGCTCCGGGGGCTTTGTGGGAAGGGAGGTCGGTGGCTCACCGTGATGATGCTGTTGCTGTACTGCATCCCGCGATCCCAGGAGCCCAGTCGCACGCTCTGCTCCCAGAACTTGGAGCCCACACAGGCCTCTGAGGCGAAGAGCATGGTGTCAGGGAACAAGCGGTGCGTTGCTCCCAGAGTAGCTTTTGCTGGCGCCAGGAAGTCCAGGTACCAGTGCACAGCAATCCCGCTGACATACTTAGCTGCTTGTTGGTCTGTCAGCACCTGCACAGGCAACAGGAAAGAGGCCTGAAGCCAAGGGAACCTAAGCCTGCCACAGGGTTCAGGAAGAGGAACTAGGAGCTCCGAGAAGTGGCCAGGTTGCTCTAGTAATCAAGTTGGGCAGGGTGGTGGCCCGCACCTATAATCCCAGCTACTCAGGAGTCTGAGGCAAGAGGATCATAAATTCAAGACCAGCCTGGGTGATACAGTGAGAACCTTCTCTGAGAACCCCTACGTTGAGCCTTGGCCCTTCCTTGTCTCTACTTCAGAACCTCCTCTATCACGTGGTTGGCTGGACTGACTGGAACCTCACCCTGAACCCTGAGGGGGGACCTAACTGGGTCCGCAACTTTGTTGACAGCCCCATCATTGTAGATACTGCCAAGGACACGTTTTACAAACAGCCCATATTCTATCACCTTGGCCACTTCAGGTGAGTGCAGGGTGCACGTTCTCAAAAAACCTCAAAAATAATAAAAATAAAATGTCTTGAAGACTCCTCTACCATGCCTCTGAGATTCCTTGACCCTACTGCTCAGCATTTCTCAAGCATTCAAGATGAGCACAGGCACGTACCCCAGGGCCTCTGCACTTGCCCTGGGTATTGCACAGCTCCACCCTCAACTTCTCCAGTTTTTGCTGAAGTTAAACCTTCCCACTGGGACCTTCCCTCACTGGCTCAATTCAAACTACAGGTGCAGCTGGGAGTGGTGGTGCATACCTATAATCCTAGCACTCGGGACGCTGAGGTAGGAGGATCATTGCTGCAAGTTCCAGACCAGCCTGTGCTACAAAGTGAGCTCAAGGCCAGCCTGAACTGCAGAGCAAAACCGTGTCTCAAGACAAAAAAAGCTGGATGTGGTGGTGCACGCCTGTAATCCCCACACTGGGGAGGCTGAGGCAAGAGGATGAGTTCCAGACGAGCCTGGGCTTCAAAGAGAGCTCAAGGCCAGCCTGAACTGCATAGTGAGACCCTGTCTCAAAAAGACAAAAAACAAACAAAAAAACCTACAGGTACATCTCCACCCCCTGCTTTATTTTTCCAAAATAGAGTACTAATCAACATCTAAAATGGGGCTGAGGATTTAGCTCAGTGGCACAGTGCCTGCCTGGCAAGCATGAAGTTGTGAGTTCGATTCCCAGTACTGGGGGGAAAAAAAACATCTAATCATTCACATATTTTAATTTGTCTGCTTCCTCGGAATTTGAGAACATACAAACTGTTACGTGTTTTGTTTATTACAATACAACCAGTACCTAGGATATTGTCTGGCACTGATTTGTTGCTCAATAAATGTGCTAATTAAACTGAGTATCAATAAATATAAGAAAAATGTGGGGCTGGGGATATAGCTTAGCGACACAGCACCTGCCTGGCAAGCGCAAGGTTGTGAGTTCAATTCCTGGTACCCCAAAACAAAACAAAAACAAAAAAATAATTCAAGGTAAAAATGTCTTGAGGATAACCCAGGCATAGTGTTGTACATCTGTAATCCCAGCCCTTGGGAGACTGGGGCAAGGATCACCTTGGGTTCAAGCCCAACAAGACCCAGTCAGAAAAAACAAAACAAAAATAATTTTTTTTTTTTGGTATTTTTGAGACAGGGTCTTACTATGCAGTTCAGGCTGCCTTTGAGCTCACTTTGTACCCCAGGCTGGCCTCAAACTCACAACCATTCTCCTGCGTCAGTCTCCCAAGTGCTGGGATTACAGGCGTGCACCACCATGCCTGGATAAAATAGAAAAAACTTGACAGTCATCTTATAATTGTCTTCCCCCCCCCACCCCGGTACCGGGAATTGAACTCAGGACCTTGCACTTGCCAGGCAGGCGCTTGTGCCGCTGAGCTATATCCCCAGCCCTATTGACAGTCATCTTTATGAAGCAAGTAGAGAGTTATGAGATGGAACAAACACAAAACAGAGTTGGAAGAGGAAGGCACTCTAAGCTTGCAGCCAATATTTAGATGTTAGATTTGGGGTTTGCTAGGGCACCCGTGGGGATCCTAGGCCTTACCACCTGTGCCCAGTGAGGCAGCAGCAATCGGTTGTCATCCAGCATGATCAGCTGGATGTCACGATGAGTACTGTTAGCAAGGGTTGGACCCAGGTCACGGGCAATGAAATCTCGCTGGTGTTCAGGGGTGAAGCCCAGACACTGGAAGGGGTAACCACTCATCAGCCCTGCAGAAGGCTCATTCTCAACTGTCACTGCCCAGAACTTTAACTTGTGCTCAGCATAGGCATCCAGGAACCTAGCAGGAGAAAGGACAGGAGTGGTCATGACCAAGAAAATGGACCACGGCCCTCTGATGTTAGAGTGGGGACAACTAATAGGCCCAATCTGGAAGGCCAAGAAGGTAGGAGAGGCAGGTATGGAAGTGGCACCAGGTTGAGGGGTAGGACATGGACCAGATGCCTAAAGAGAAGGCAGGTCCAGGCTACATGGCCTTGCTGATTCCTTACTTTTTTTTTTTTTTCTCTGATCCCTTACTTGACAAAGTACTTGGCCCAGGTCTGGTGGTAGATGTCCCCTGGCGTCCCCTTGAGTGTCCCCTTCCCATTCACTGCCCCATTGGTCTTGAGCCAAGTGGGTGATGTCCAGGGACTGGCGAAGAGTGAGACAGGACGCTGGGACATTTGCAGGGCTCGGTGAATCAAGGGTATCTAGAAACAAAGGTAGTGAGGAGAGAGACACCCAGAGGTGGAACACAAACCAGCCCAACCAGTGCATCAGGTCCAGCTATCAGCCTGCACCCTACCACCCCTGGGACAAAACAGCAGCAGGAGAAGGTTCTATATCCCTCTGCAGAATGCCCTAGCTGGACCCTCTCGATCCCCAGACATGAATGTCAGCAGAGCCACAGGCAATCAGAATGCCCACCTTGAGCTTGGTATCTTCTTCTGTGAGGCTGAAATTGTGCAACTGGAAGTCATCAGGGGTGTCATCATAGGTATAGGTGCGGATGGAGAAGTCACAGCTAGCCATGGGTACCCGGATGATGTTATATTCAATCCCTGCAGTGGATGACCAAGATATGGGAGTCTGAATCAATAGGAGAATATGGAACATGGCTTATCACTTGCCAGTCTTCAGTAGAGTCTTAAGACCAAAGAGAATGTGGGTGCCAGTTTGGGGACCGTGGAGGCCACCACCTGGGTAAAGCACAGGTCCTCTGAGCCTGACAGTCCCATGCATTTATTTTTTTTTTTTTTTATGTTTTTATTTTTCTTGGTACTAGGAATTGAACTCAGGACCTTGCGCTTCCCAGACAGGCACTTGTGCCACTGAGCTACATCCCCGGCCCAAGTCCCATGCATTTAGCAGAACCCTAACAGGGTAATCTTATTCTAGTGGCATTAAGGAACCAAATGTTGCTAGGTGTGATGGCGCATGCCTGTAATCCCAGCACTCGGGAGGCTGAGGCAGGAGGATCACTGCAAGTTTGAGACCAGCCTGGGCTACAAAGTGAGCTCAGGGCCAGCCTGAACTCAAGAGCGAGACCCTGTCTCAAAAAGGAAAAAAAAAAAAAAAAAAAAAGAGGAACCAAATGTCAGAGAAAGGTGAAAGGGTACAAGGAAGGGTCAAAGAAAAGTGTTGGTTGCATTGTGTCCTCTGGTCCCACCCCTCCTCACCTTCTTTAGAGAAGTATGATTTCAGTAGCAAATTCTGGGCAGGGGGTGACAGGGCGAGGATATTGAGAGCAGCAGCATCTGTCATGGCCCCTCCAAATCCTTTCACTTTCTGGAACTTCTCTTCTGGCTGCAGGGTCAATAGAAGCCCTGAGGACACCAGCAGGGAAGAAAGGGTGTCAGTGTCCAGCAAAGAAACTCCACATTGGTCACTGGCATTGGTGACTTAGCTCCGGGAGGGCTGAGCCTGGTGGAGGGGGTGGTGAGGGAGTGGTCACCTGTGCCGGTGCGGTTGGCCTGGAAGTCACCCACACTCAGCTCCATCCGACGTCCACTGCGCGTACTCTCATAGCGGCTGAAGGTCCCCAAGGCTGGGAGGGTCAAGGGATCAAGAGAGTCGCAGTACGTAGCATTGCAGACACAGACCACTGAGCTGTAGCCAAAGCTTTTAGGGACACAGGGGTAGGCACCTGGAAGGAAAGGAAACAGGCAGAAGAGGCAAGAGCAGGGCACAGGTAAGGGCAACAGTCACGCTAGTTAGGAGACAGGACAGTGGTTTCAAATATCCCCTCCCTCGACCCCCATCCTAACGCTGGTCTCAATCACTCCCCAGAGTTTATCCAGTGCCTACAAGGAAGTTCACCATGAATACACTGGAAGGCTAGCAAAGGACCACAGGGTGGGACCACACGGTGCTCTTCTCCTTGGCATTCTTACCTGATGCCCATGCCACTGCCTGAAGCAGGAGCAATCCCGTGAGGCTGGCAGCCATGATGCCTACCCTGCCCAGGCATTTGGGATGTTCCTGAGAACAGAAAGAGGAGTAGCTAAAAGGCAAGTTCTGGGCTGGGGATTTAGCTCAGTGGCACAGCGCCTGCCTGGTGAGTGCAAGGTTGTGAATTCGATTCCCAGTACCGGGAAAAAAAAAAAAAAAAAACAGAAGGCAAGTCCTCTCCAGCCCTCAGTCAGCTACCCTCCTGGCGAGGGCTGGGTGTCGATGGGTGTGCACAACCCAGCTTTCCACCTTGATTAGGAATGGGACAAGGTCCAAAGTGCAGGGCGCAGCCCTCCCTGGAACCCCTCTGCTGGAGACAGCTTTCTGCCTACCCCAAACAAAGATTCACCTTACCCCTCTTCCCATCCATTTCAACTTCAACCCCTCCCTCTCTTCATCTGCTGAAAAAGCCACAATGGCCTGCTTTCACAGTCTGCCACTTGCCGGGCACAGTCGTGTAATTCTGGCTACTTGATTAGGACTGTAATCCTGACTACCTGGGAGACTAAGGCAAGATGACTGCAAGTTTGAGGCCATCCTGGGCAACTTAGTGAGACCCTATCTCAAAATAAAATTAAAAAGGCTGGGATGTAGCTTGGTATATGCTGGATTCAATCGCCAGTACCAGGAAGAACAAAAGGAGAGAGGGTAAGACAGAGAAAGAGAAGATATCACAATGATTGGGATTCCTGGTTCACTTACCTCTATGGAAGGACCTGAAAACTCCATCACATCTGGTTACTGGATGAAGAGAAGCCTGCAGGAGGTCCAGAGTCTCGGAAAGATGAGCGGATTCACGAAATAAAAACAAGTATGCACGTATATACTGCAGCCATAGGGACCTGACTAGCCCTGCAGGTCAATTCCGGTCCTGTAAGGATGGATCATGTGATGACAATGGGAGGGTCACATGATACAGGAAGTGAGGCAATCGCAGCCATATTTGTAATGGGCAAATGGCCTTTTTTTTTTTTCCTTTCAAAACAGGGTCTCACTATGTAGTTTAGGCTGACCTTGAACTCACTATATAGCCCAGGCTGATTTGACTCACAGCAATCATTCTGCCTCAGTCTCCCCAGTGCTGGGATTATAGACATGTGCGACCACACCTGGCTCGACAATTGGCCTCTGGCAGAGAGGTGCGAATAATAATTTTGGGAAGAGCCTAGAACAGAGATTTCAGTGAAGTTAAGTTGAGCCTCTGAATTCCCAGAGTAGGTGAAACACAGCAGGCACATCTTGAGAAAAAATGGAAAGTGAAACTAATAAGGGCTGGTGCTATAGCTCAGCAACAGAACATTTGCATAGCACCTACAAAGCGCTGGGTTCAATCCCCAGCCACACAGAAAAAAAATGTGATGCAGTAAAAAAGGGGCTCGCGCCTCAAAATGCTGAAGCCACAGAGAGGGGTCTGTGTGTGTGTGTGTGTGTGTGTGTGTGTGTGTGTGTGTGTGTGTGTGGTCCCAGGAATTAAACTCAGGGCCTATTGAAAGCTAGGTAGGCACCTTACCACTGAGCTACATCCCTAGACATTTAAAAACATTTTTTAAAATTTTTTTTTGTCTTTTTGAGACAGGGTCTCATTATGCAATTCAGGCTGGCCTTGAGCTTACTTTGTAACCCAGGCTGGTCTTGAACTCCCAATGGTCCTCCTGCCTCAGCCTCCCAAGTGCTGGGATTACAGGTGTCTGTCCACCATGCCCAGCTCTTTTTTTTTTTTTTTTTTTTTTTTTTTTTTGAGATAGGGTCCTGCTAACTCATTAAGTTGCTTGATCATGCAATCTTTCTGCCTCAGCCTCCTGAGTAGCTGGAATTACAGGTATGGGCCATAGTGCCTGCCTGACAGGTTTAAGATCCAATCTTTGCCCTAAAAGAGGCCAATGAGGCACCAGAATCAGACACACATATTTACAGATGAGGACAGAAGTGGTAACATATGTATCTGGAGAGTTACCTGGGATTCACAGGAAATGTCCATGAGTTTAGAGTAATCCAGAAAGGCTTCCCAGAGAAGAAGGAGTTACTAGCCACAGAGGTACAGGGAGAGTGGCACCTGGGATGAAGGTAGCCCGAGGAAATTTGTGGTTGGTGATGCACCTCTCTGGGCCCCTCTCCTTTCATCATCAGATGTCCCGGCTCAGAAACGGTAGTGTGCTGGGGGCTGGCAGGATGGCACAGTGGAGACCACTCGCCTCCCTCGAGTTTTCAAAGCCTCGGAATGGAGCCCCAGCATCACATTGCAAAACAAAAGAAAAAACAAATAAGACCCAAATGGGAAAGTGCTATACAAAGTTAAATCCTCGGGGGACCCACCGAGGGGCTGTCTGTGATGCTGATCCACGAAGCACATCAAATGAGGGTTAGTGGGAGGGGCACACACAGTCCAGCCTGCCTAACTCCAGCTGTCAGTCTATTGCCTCACTGTGAGACAGGAGCAATCCCACAAACTCACAGGTTACCACTGGCATCAGAGAGATAAGCACTGTGCCGGGGGCACAGTAGACACTGGGAACTACTTGTTTATGTTGTTGTTGTTGTACTAGGGACTGAACCCAGGGTGTTACGCTGAGATACATCCCCAGCCAGCCGTTTTTATTTTTGTTTAGTTATTTTCTTTGAGACAAGGTCTCATGAAGCTGCATGAGCTGAGTTCAAACTTACAATCTTCCTGTCTCAGCCTCCCAGAGTGCCGGGATTTCAGGTACTGGCCACCATGCCCGCCCATGCCGTACACTTTCTGTATGAGTCCTTTTATGTATTCTGAATTATCTCAGTGAAGCCCTTCTAAGACACACTCCATGTATAGTTGACCATTTCTTCTGGGGTCCTAGCATATTTTAATTACGTATAGCCTCAGTGAGATAAGCAAGGTTTGAATCCTGGCTCCAGCATTTATTGGCTGTCTGACCACTAGTCAATTTCTTAGTCACTCTCAGCCTACCTCCCACCCATAAAAGGGGAGTGATAGATCCTCTCTCACAGGATTAATTGGGGGTGGAAGTATGATAAATGTGTATTTAGTACATTGCTGGCGCCTTATGTCACAACCAGCAGTGCTTAGGAAAGAACTGAGTTCCTTGAAGGAAATGTCTTGCTCATTCTTCTTGATTTCATATCCTTGTCAAAAGGCCGGTCCACTCCAGTTAGAGTTCTTGTTTTTCCAGGAAGCCCTGGGCAGGATTTAGAAGGGCAGGTACATCACTTCCAACCCATTCCATTCAGCTCATTCACTTCCTCCAGCTCATTCATACCCCACCTGGGCTGGTGTGTGTTAGGCAAGTGCTCCGCTGCTGAGCTACATCTGTAGATATTTCCTGAGCCATTCTCCATCTGCCCCTGCCTATTCTGTTGGGTTTAGAGCCCCCGCTCCTCCCTATTTCTCCAGTGGACCCAGTGGAAGCCTCTTGTTTCTCCTTCTACTCCTCCTCCTTTTATCCGCATTATTTTCAGACAGGGTCTGGTTAAGTTGCCACGTTGCCCTTGAATTTGAAATCACCTGCTTCAGCCTTTCTAGTAGCTAGGACTGCAGTCACTGTGCCCAGTTTGCCCCTTCTTCTTACC